TCTGTTGCCCGCTCTGGCTCTGGTGAATTCTCTCACCCTCCTGCGCTTCTGACTGTACCCAGTGCTTGTATAAATAAATAAATAAAACTTTAAAAAAAAAAAAAAGAAAGGAAGGAAGGAAGGAAGGAGGAGGGAGGGAGGGAGGGAGGGAGGGAGGGAGGGAGGGTGGGGAGGGAGGGAGGGAGGAGGAAGGAAGGAAGGAAGGAAGGAAGGAAGGAAGGAAGGAAGGAAGGAAGGAAGGAAGGAAGGAAGGAAGGAAGGAAGGAAGGAAGGAAGGAAGGAAGGAAGGAAGGAAGGAAGGAAAGGGCCTCCACAGTGGCGAAGCAGGTTGAGCGCCGCGCTGTGAAGCTGTCCTCAGCCTCTGCAGCACTGGTTCAATTCACAGCCAGCCAGGGAGAAACCCACATGGCGCGGCAGACCTCTCCTGCCGCCCGCTGCTCCCTTCAGTAGTGTCTTCGGTCCATCTGCCTGTTCTGCTCCCTGCTCTGTCTCTGGTGAATTCTCTCACCCTCCTGTGCCTCTGACTGTATCCCAGTTCTTGTATAAATAAATAAATCTTTAAAAAAATTTAAAAAATAAAATAAAAAATAAAAATAAGAAAGAGACTTGATCATTGCTGTTACAAGGCAAAATGAGGACTGATGTGTGCAGAGTTCAAGTAGGTTGATATGATAATGAGTTAACAAAAATGCTTCTGATTCTATCAACTGTCAAAAATGGAGTAAGTCACTTATTATAGTGAATCCTCTGTTCTGCATCTAGTTCATGCACTACTGTAGATAAGGTGGCCTCTCCTCTGCCATATCACAACTCCAAGCCTGGGTCATCTGCCTTGCTCCCCAGCCAGAGTAGAAAGTTGACAGACAGCCCTTCAAACAGAATTTCACCAATGCAAGACAAGCAGTGAGAAGGAACTGGCAGGTGAATTGCTGATCCCCACTAGCAAATTCTTCCAAGCTGCAGTTGTTTTGTTTGTCTACTCTGGAGAACAGGAACAACTACATAATTAATGAGGCTTCATGCAAAATGAAAATGCAGGGCATCATTACAAAAAGTATTAAGAATTTAAAAATGACAATAATAAAGCATTAAACAAAGTACAGGGACCTTCTAAGCATGAAGCCCTGCACAAACTGTGCAGGTCACATCCCCATGAAGTTACCCCTGACAAACAATTTGAGATGCTACACAACCAGCTGTAGTGCTTGTAAAGTGACGGCCAGTTCAGTAACTTCCCCTGTTATGTTTCCTTTCCTTTTCCCTCATGCCCATTGCCCTGGGGTTGCATTCTACCAGCATCTCAATAAGACCTTAATATGCAAGCTTTGTCTTGGTCTCTGTTTTCTAGAAACTTAGACTAGGATTCTGTGTAACCTGAGTTTTTCAAATTTGAGAGGCTGGTGCAAATCTTCTTTAATGTCATTCTTACTCTAAGATGCCATAATTCCACCAATTTAAGGATATTCGTTTTATATTAATGGTATTGTTCATTTGCTACAGTCATAAATTTTGTACATGGGCTAGAATACTTGAATTATTACATCTCCAGTATTTTATCCTACTATGCCAAGGCATAAATTAATTATTCATTAGAGGGGAATAATAAGGTAGCCTAATATAGAAAGGTGCCCCTTTACTTATCTTCTTTACCCTAGTTCTCACTTTCCCATTTATCTAAGCATTTCCTGCAAACCTCCCTCCTTATATATATTAGACAGATTTCAACTTCCTACTTCTTTTCCATACTTACATAATAGTAAATATGATGACATTTCGATCATTGATTGTTTCTTACCTCTGTATGTACATTCAATTTCAGAAGTGGTCATAAATTTAAATCTGAACCAAAAGTTCTTGCAATACAGTAGCCCTTCTTACCCTCTGGGGATAGAGCCCAGGACCCCTAGCAAATTCTTGAAACCATGGATAGCATGGAAACCAATATAAAGCTATATATTTTTTTTCCTATACATGCATACACATACATACATATGATAAAGTTTAATTTATAAAGCAGGCACAGTAAGAGCTCAACAATAGCTAATAATTTAAAAAAAAAAACAGTTTTAACAATATACTGTAATAAAAGCTATGTGAATGTAGTCTTTTTCTCTCTCTCTGAAAATATCTTATTAAATATAATATCTTTTTGTGATATGGTTGAAATAAAGTTCCCAGTAGCTCTGCTGCTCAGGATCAATGTGAAACCATGGACTACTATATACATATTTATTGAACAGATATTTATTGACTAGCATACATAAAGCACTGATAAGTACTGAGGTATAAGCAAAGAATTAGATGCAGATCTTACCATAAAGTAGCATAAGGTTTCATAGCAGAGTCTCTGTGTTTATGACACTAGTCTTAAATAATTTTAATTCAAATCAAAGGGTGATGATAGCACATGACTGAGGGGCACCACAGGACTCCAAACTTTTAATATATGTGCTCTAAGGGATGTAATCTAGCCATCCACTGCACAAAGGCAAAGAAAGCAGACTCAGTCTGAAAGATCTTTATTAGAATCAGTGTGCATAGGGAGCGATGAAAGGATATTAATTTCCCAATAAAACTTCCCAAATTATCGATCCACTGGTTGACAAGTATCCAGCCAAACAGACTCGGCCTGAAACAGGGCCGTTGAGGCCTGAAAGCTTGCCACAAAACCCTCTGGCACCTCTGGCAGGGAACCATAAGAAAGGGGTGAAGCAGGTCTGGGACAGAAGATGAGATGCAAAACTCAAAATAGAAATCAAGGTAAAGACTGTCATTGTCTCTGCCAAGGACAGGCAAACCATGTGTCTCTTACCCATGAATCTCTTCCACTTCTCCTGCAAGTTTCCTCTGCAGCAGTACTAGGTTCCAAGTCGGACTGCAGAAATAAGAGAGCCATGCCTGCATATGTTTAGTTATAAGTGAAGCATGACTGCTTATATCCACGCCTAGTTGTCATTAGCACTTCTGTTAAGGAAGTCCAGTGGGTGGCTTACTGGGACTTGTAATCCAAGGTGACTGCATGTAAGCAGGAGCAGGTACCACCCCTCCATAAGGTCTTTCTATAGCAGTGAGTCATGGAAGATAACTTAGAAAAAAAGTGCCTGTAAATGGTAGGGAATTTGGACTAGAAATCCAGAGGAATTTATAGAGAAGCAAGTATTTGACATGTGAAATTGAGGAGACAAATGATTGAAAACTATTGTTTTTATTTAGAATTCAATATTGAAGTAAAAAAAAGTATTTTTACTAGATTAAAAGTATTCTGTTATTATTTATCTATTTTTTGTGTACAGCATATCTTGATAGACTATTTCTGCATTGAATAATCAGAAGATGAATCTTCATCATCATCCCTTTTTCGCTACTGGAATTGCTATTGCTTTTGGTAGTAGGATTAGTATTGTGACCTAAACCTGGCCTTTGGGCATATTTTGTTCATTGCAAAAAGTTGTTATGAGTGTATTTCTTCCATGTAATCTAAATGACATAAACAACTTGTCAATTTGTTATCTTCAGTTTTTCAGTCATGCAAGTAGAAAAGGAGAAATCTTTTGAATTATTAGTGTAAATCTACTGGAAAAATTCAAGTGAAAAAAATTTATTCTTAATGTTAGAGAAAATTATTTCCTCCACAGCAAACTAATTTTTTAAGCAATGATCACTGAGCCATTGGTAAATTTTTGGCAATACAAAACTCTCTTGAGGCTTCTCCAATAAAGAATAATTTCCAAGATTGTCAAATCTAAATAAATGGAACTAAATTGGACAGAGTATTTGAGATCATAGATTAATAGAAAAAAATGTCTTTAGTGTTGATATTTGATTTCCAGTCTCTTGAACTTCCATGTACATTTCAGTGAATTTCTCCTTGTAGAGTCATAAAGGTATATGCATCAGTGAGATGAATTTGTATCAAAGTGTTTGTCTTAATTTTGTCACAGGGTTGATTTTGTCAGTCTCTTGAATTTTTTATTGTAATCCTGATATGCCTCTGAATGAATTGAAATTTATGTAAAAAAAAAAAGAACTGTGGTATTATTCCATTTGTTTTTCATGGCCCTTTAATGATAACTGTTTCAGAAGCATGGATTTAAAAGCTAATGTCATAGGCTATCTATCAAATTCTAATATTCACCTTGTCTTTTCAACCAGAAACCTGCCAAATGCCATTTGTATTGATAGAAGTGTCTTCATACATAATTGGCAGACATGCAGTAATAGAGTATCTATAGAATGCTGTTAAGTTTATTTAAAAAAAAAAAGACCCCCGTGAAAAAAGGCATCATGAAAGATCTGAAAAATATGCTTGGATTTAGGAACAGTTTGACTACAATACTTAAAATTATTGGTTGTCAATGAGGAGAGAAAAAGAAAAGTGCAGAGGATGTTAGGGGTAATTAAAGCAACTAATGATAGTATTTGAAGGCATGTTGAAGCTTTGTGGGTGTATATATGCATATGTGTTCATTGGGGTTTGCTCTAAATTATCTTTATGTATCAAGAGTTATTTTTCTCATCTCTGTGGGTATGAAAGTACTGAAGACAGAAACTTTTATCAAATTTTGTTTTATAAAAATCAGAATATTCAACAAAAGAAAAATATTTGATCCTTTTATATAATCTTAAATCACTTATACAGCCAAGAATATGCATTAATAAGATAAGATCTCTTTGAACTTTAGTTTCTCTTTAATCTTGAGATTGGATTTTAAAGAATGAAATAGTGGGAATTCCATCTATAAATTTAAATTAAAATGGACTCATTTGAACTAATGGCTGAATAAAATGGGGACATTCCATATTAAATATGATGATTTGCTATCTTATATTACCCGATTTCACTTATTTCATGGAGAGTAGAATTTTTATGAGCAGTAATTCAGAAAAATGTGAGTTGACTTCATGGAACTATTTCCCACATTACTTTAACTGATATTGTTTTAGTAATTTTGTGGAATGCCTAGTAAAATATTCTAAATGCTTTGCACATTGTTCTTTAGTTTCAGCTCAAATTCTCAAGAGCAACCTTGCAACAATGGAACAGCATATTACTCATCTTGAACGTGACATCAAGAATTTACCCCAAGCAGAAAATCAACATGATAAGTTTGTGGAAAAGATGACCATATCCTTTATTTATTTAGATGTCTTATTTGTTTTCTGTGTGTGTGTCTACCTGCCTACCTACCTATCTACCTACCTGCCTGCCTACCCTACCTACTTACCTACTTATATCTATGTACCTACCTGCCTACCATATGGTTAGTTTTGAACTTAACAACCTGTTCACGTTCTGATAAATTCAAGTATACATAATTTTTTCTGTTTTTAATATTAGCAGTGTGAAATTTAGTTCATGATGTTTTGAACTATGTAGAATAGGAAAAAGAGTCATTTTTCAACGAATTTCATTTGAAGACCCAGAAGATATACAAGGTAAGTTTTATGAGGCTTGATTAAACCTAAAACAAAACAAAGTAATATTTTTATGTAGCCAGTTGCTTAATGGAAATCATCAACAGAATTATATTTTTATTTTTTAAAGATTTATTTCTTTATGCATATAAGAACTGGGGTATAGGCTAGAGGTGTTGGGGGTGAGAGGATCCACCAGAGAAAGATTGGGGAACAGAACAGGCAAACTGACTTCAATACACTGCTGAGGGGAGCAGCGGGCGAGTCAGGAGAGATCTACTGTGCCATGTGGGTAGCTCCCTGGCTGGGGATCGAACTCCTGCTGCAGTGGCTGGGGATAGCTTCATAGACTGCGTCTTAACCACTTGCACCACCAAGGAGGCCCAGAGCATTATTTTTTTTTTAATTCTCTTTTTGTGTGCAGGTATTTTCTGAGGGTACATGTGCATTTTCAAGGTCAATCAGAGGATTACTAGTCTTGGTAAGACTGAAAAGGTTGTGAAGGATAAAATGGATGGATAGATTAATTAATCAGTAGATTATGCATTTAAATAAATTATAGTAGCTATATAACATTAAGCATTTCTTGGTAAATTAATGTTTTTAACCCCTATTTTACATATAATATATTCATATAAATTACAGAAACATATAAAAGGAGAACTTGAAAAATAGCATTTGGCTTGAATTGTTTGATGTTAAATCTGGTGTCTAAAGATAAACTACATTAGAGCTGTGGTTTTTTTTTTTTCCTATTTTGGTTTTCAAAAGTTAAAGCCATATCTTCCTCCTCTGGGTTTAAATAAATATTTTGAACTGCAGATTGATTCACCATTTTATATCTCTAGAGGGAATAAATACTATAAATTCTTTATCTGATAATAAGTAAATTCCATCAACAACTATATGGGAGTCACCTTGTTTCAAGGTTAAATCTATTGCCTTTTTTCCTCTTATATGCTTTCTTTCCCTACCCAAGTTGGAAGTTATGGTACTGAACTTGAATTTCTGAAAATGGTGCTTTATATTTATGTGAAGATTTTTTTTCATTCTCCCGTGCTTTGGTTCTTGGATTAACACATTGTTTTCTTAGTTTCATGTGGTTCTTTAGTGATGCTGCATACTTTCATAAATAGAAATAGAAAACATACGTTTGTGGGTGACTGAAGACAGGAAATCCTCAAAAATAACCTTAGATTACATAACTGCCCTCAATGGGAGGCTTAATGTGAGAATTTCTCGTTATTGCTGACTAGGTTTTTCTTTCAAATATGTTATATTGTCCTGTGGCTAGAAACACCACCTACATTTTTCAACTTTGATTTTGATTCTTGCTTCATATATTGAATATAATTCCTGATCCCCTTGTTCTTTTTATTTTCTTGTACAGTTAGCTTATGGCCACATAGCAACTTGCAATATTGAGTAGTCTTTCTTGCTCCTTTAGAAAAAGAAAAGTAATTTAAAACCCTCTAGAAATTGCCCTGGACTCCTTATTCTTTTTCTCTCTTTCTGAAGGTAATTAAGCACTATAAAATGGAAATCCAGAGTCTTCTGTATCTGTATGGTACAGATGAATGGTTATTCTTCATTTATGTGGCACTAAAGTGTGACTATTTGTCCACAAGGGAACTCAAAACTGTATTAAAATGTATGGGACTGTTACTTTGCATAATTATATTTAAATATATATGGGGATTTATTTTACAGAAGAAAGAATAATAAGTTCAATTGGTTAAAATGTCCAATTCATGAATTGCAATGATAGAACTGTTCAAATTATTCTTGGTTTAGAATACTTCTCTGACACCCACTGAGTTTCTATGTTTTAAAAAATTCCTGATAAAATGTTTAATTCTCATGTGGGTAATGTATATGGGTGTGTACACACACACAAACATGCACACACATGCACACGTGTGCGCACACACACATATACACACACAGAGAAAAATGGTAGATCTGTGTGTGTTTAGTGTGTGTGTGTGTTTTATGACAAATCTGTGCCTACTTAATGTGTTTTTCTATTTTTTGGAGCATTGCAAAAGAGAAGATTATCTTAAGGTGGGCTTCTTGATATTGTTTTAAAATTAGAACCATGTTTCTGTTTCTAGTATAGGATTGTTTGTACCTGGATGATCTATCCAATGTTTCTGTCCCCTGCTAATAAATTCTTTTGCTTCAGGTCATTGACCCTTTAAATTGAATAACAACAGGCACAAGTATGGGAATAGTTTCCCTGGAAAGTATCTTTACCTACTTAAAGAGTAATCTCTCTTAAAAGAACTGTAAATTAAAATAACAGTAATAATAAAACTAGTACTGCCACCCCTCTGAGCTTTCCAGAACAGCATCAGTGTTTCACCAAACCACCTGGTTAAATTAAGTTCCGTAGTATCCTGTGCTCACCATTACTCTTTCATAATATTGCAGTATTGATTGAGCACTTACAATGTGCTAGTCACTGCTAGACCATGAAAATAGAATAGTGCACAAGATAGCCTGACATGCTGCTGATAGTCTGACATTTACATGTGTCTCTCTCTTGCTTTCCCCATGGCCAGCATCGTGTCCTGTGTGTTAATTATTTTATACCTATCACAGTGCCAGCACTTAGTAATGTGTAGGCACTCAATAATTTTGTAGCTAGAGACAATAGAGATGATTTAGTTCAAGCTCCTACCTTTACTTAGCACTTTTTTTTTAAGATTTATTTATTTATGCATATAAGAACTAGAGTACAGGCCAGAGGTGTGGGGGTGAGAGGATTCACCAGAGATAGAGGGGGGAACAGAACAGAAGATAACTGAAATACACTGCTGAGGGGACTAGCAGGATAGTCAGGAGAGGTCTGCTGCGCCATGTGGGTCATCTCCCTGGCCGGAGATCAAACTCATGTTGTAGTGGCTGAGTCTTAAACCCTTGCACCACCAGGGAGGCCCTATATATGTAAGTTGAAAAGTTAAACAATCTTAAGTTGTGCTTATAGTTGTAAAAATTTCCTTCACATAAATCTTAAGACTTTGAGTAACATTGAATCATCTTTGTAGAACATGCATTCAATCAATTTTAGATGTGTTATCTACCTGTTTAAAGTAAATCTCCAAAAATATTGACCAAAATACAGAATGAAACCTCTTCCATGAATGGACTGTGCCCCAGGCTATTTCTTGCCTCTTTTTAAGTATGGTCAATGGCTTGAGAAGGAAACTCATCACCTCTGACTTCTCCACCCCAAATTGTTGCTTGTTTCCACTGAAAAAATAGATGGAAAGAGGAAAACAAGCAAAACTAATTTACAAACTTAAAAGATAGGAAGGAAACTGGAAAATTATCTTATAATTTACAGGAGGGAGGCTCTGGGATCAAAGGGATCTATAATGTCTATAATAGTACTAATATATTGAAGTGCACATTGATAAAATAACCTTATTAGGAAATTATTACTATTATCATGTTTTTTTTAAAAGCAAAGTTGTTGGTATTCTTTATATCAATATGGTCATGTTAATAATATTAGAATTTTTTAGCTTAAGTGTACAGTGACTTAAAATAGAATCTATATTAATATTTTTAGTAAGTTGTAAATATTTTAATATTCTCTCATTTATTCAAATTTACTATGTATCAGACACTACCTAATTTTATACACTTGAGCTTTCAAACGTGTTCTCATTTATTAAATGAGGAGTATTTTCCTTATATGGAGTTGAAATTGACCATAGTTATTCCAGTTTGATTGTAGTAAACTTCAGTTGTTGCAGAATAACTTCAACAGCTCAAAACTTTACATTGCTGAAGTTGTTTTGGAGATGTTGGGTTCGGAGAGTGGAGTCCTTGGTTTCACTCTGGGAAAAGTTTCACCAGAGCTCTCCTTTCAGTGGCACTGGCAAGTTGGCGAGTTTCCCAGGTGAGTTTCCTAACCAGAAAGACACTTTTGGTTATATCCAAAAGGGTAGGTCTATTATAAATAGGGAGAGAAGGAAAAGGACACTTACATAGACACATAGGCAGAAAAGGGCTGCCTGAAAATGGACAGGTTTGCTAAAAGAGAGGCCTGCATGGTTGTAGGCCAGCGGCCTTGGGAGGAGAGCTGCCTCTGCTGATGGAGATCAGTGAAGTGAAGCACTGGCAAGGTCACAGGTCACAGGCAGGCAGGAGGCTGCTGCCCTGCAGAGGGAGCAAATTTGCAACAGCAGGAGCTTCTGCATAGGCACAGGCAGGCAGAAGGGTTTCTGCCCCATGCCAGTATAGATATTGCACTGATAACATCTTATTTTCTTTGAGAGGGGCTCAATCCTTTGTGGAGTGGTTTGTTTTTTGTTGATTTTCAATAACAATGTAGAATTTGAAAGAGACTGGAGATTCTGCATTGGCCTTCAATCTCCAAATCTTTACCTCCCATCTGCACCCTGTGACACTAACTGTAGTCTGACACTTTGCTAGGGGCTGTGCCTTGGCTCCTAAGGATTTTTCATTCCTATAGCTGATTTTAAGACCATGTTAATCACTTCTATTCCCACCTCCAGCTTCTGACATCGTGTGAGTCAGGTTTCTGGTCGTGTGGTGCCTCTTTTCCAACTTTTCTATTCTGATCCTCCATCATTGCCATGGTTTTTAATTTTTTTAATTTCTAGTGAACATCTTAATGTCTTTCAAGGTTACCAGATAGGGTTCTAGGGAAAAATTCCCCCACCCCTCTGGGTTATTATACTGGTCTAGCAAACAAATTATATCAGACAGATCAGTAGGAAAAAAAAGAAAAAAAAATCATTATATATATATACATATATATATGGGGAATTTATATGGCTATAAATTCCAAAGGATGTAAAAGACAGAATTCATACCCTGAGCTATAGAATCAGGTAGGGGCCTTTGGTTATTCTGCAGTGAGAGGGAGTCTTACATAATGAGGAAAGGATGACTTCATATGAAAAAACCTGCCTCTGAATGTTTGCTCTGACTTATAAGTTTCTCCAATAAAAAAATATATTAAAAAAATGCTTATTTCTGAAGATGACCTTAATCTGGGTCATCTTCATTCTTTCAAATAATGGTAACAGTTTCTCTTGAGACCTGCAGGTCTTTGACCTTAGCGCCGAGTGCCAAGGTTACATGTACTGGGAAAAGCCTCTCTGAACATTTTTGGAGAGGTAAGTCCTACAGAGGGACTATGTAGTCTGTGTCTGTATCCTATTGTAGATGATGGTCAGATGAGGTTTAAAATCATGGCTGATTTCACAGCTTAGAAAAATAACCCATGCTTAGGACCGGTGAGAGGGAGTCCTGTGAATGGCTTGCTTTGTCAGCCCTTAGGCCTGTTCTTTTTTGACTAGATATTATAAGCTGATTCAGATTCTTGCAACTTTTGTCTTCTTGACCCATAATGATAACTGTGACTAAGTTTCTTTTTTTCCTTTCTATTATTTTTAAAATCAAATCATCACTTCTACTTAATATCCACTGCTTTTTCCTATGGGCAAGAAGACCTTTTTTTTTTTTTTTTAAAGGTTTATTTATTTAACCATGTGGGTGAATAGGTATGTAGGCCAGAGGTGGGTGGGGGGTCATGAGAAGATTCACTAGAGACAGAGTGGGGAGCAGAACAGGTTGATTTACTGAAATGCATTGCTAAGAGGAGCAGTGGGTGAGACAGGAGAGGTCTGCTGCGCCATATGTGGGTTAGTTCCCTGGCCTGAATCAATGTCAGGCCTTAGTGGTGATCGTGCTGAGACTTAACCCTTAGGCCACCAGGGATCCCCTAGAAGACCATTCTTTAAAGAGGGTTTTTAAGTATTGTGGCCCATTCTTAGCATTTTTAATGCCTGAACAGCATATTAGTCACAGTGTTCACCTTACTACTTATATACCACGTTTACTTAGATCTTGTCAATGGCAGATCTGTGTATTGCCCAAATAGAGCTTAGCTTTTTGATTGACTGCTGGCTAAATCATTTTTACCAACTAGAGGACAGGGAGTGACTGAGCAGCAGGGGCACCATTAACACACTGACAGTAAGAGCTGGCAGAATGTTAATGACATTAACACCCTGTCAACTAACTCTGAACACCTGGGATTTCCTCATAGTAGAAGAGAATCATTTGAAGTGGTTAAAAATGAAGTTACTGAGGAAAGCACATTGTTAGTACCACAGGATTCAAAACAGATTTGGGGTCTCCATTGCACTGCAATTATGTTAATTTTGTTCCACTGTTTCTTAAGAGAATATTTGTTAAAAAGATGAAAAACTCAGTTATTATTTAACCACAAGTAACAATCACCTTTGAGAACATGTTAATAACAGGTTTTACTGATGATGAACCACACTTTGTAAATATCACATAAAATTGACAAAATCAAAAGAAACTTCAAACAAAATCAAGAGAAACTTCAACTTTTGTATCAAATATGGTAATCCAGGCTAT